TCCTCTCTCCCCCCTCCGCCCGCGGTCTCTCTGGCGTTCATATGTCATTCCATCCGTGCGTTCGGCTCAGATGGCATACCTTGGTGACAACTGCTCTCATGTATGAGGTCGCAGGCGCAGGTTGCGACCGGTGGAGTCCTGCTGGGATGCCAGTGAGGCCGTGCAGAAACAAGCTCCTCCATGGGTTTGTTTTCCACAAGAAACCGTCCTCGGTTTCACATGAGTGACAGCTACAGAGACGGGGGCTTCACCAACGGGGGGGGGGGGTATCTCTGTGGTCAGTGATCAATCAGTGGGGTTTGGAGCTGTGGTGTGTGTGTGTGTGTGTGTGTGTATACATGAGTGCAGTCGGACACTTTTAAACTGATATAAATGATAATGTTCTTAATAATCTTCCATTTGTTGCACATTTAGGAAGAGTGAATTGTTTTCTCTTTTTTTATATTAAATATATATTTTTAAAATGTATGTAGTCCATACATTTTGACAATATATTCTGGCTGAAGTGTAGTACGTCATTCTTCACATTTTTATTTTATTATGCAAATAAACTAAAAAAACGTATTGATTTTCCAGAATACCAATAATTATAAAATGAAAATAAACAACACAAGGATAACGGACCGATACTGGATTCACTTTTATGAATCACAGAATAAACCCACAGCAGCAGACTGAGCAAATGAAGTTGTTATTTTTTTCCAAAATAAGGGAAAATAAATCTTTAAAAGTTGATGACCCAGAGCAGACCTGATCTAGACGACACGGCTCTTAAATCAACCTGAGGATCAGACGTGTGTCACCTCCTCAGTGGTCTGAGCTGCTCAGTCTCAATCTTTCTGTATTTAAGGTTTATTTATTTACATGAACTCCATAAAAACTCCGGTGCTTCCAGGCTGTGGATTCAAGCTGCTCTCCTCCACAGAAGAGTCTGTTCTTGAGGAAAGGAAGCACTAAATTATTTTAAACACACTAATATGGCTGCCAACAGGGGCAGCCAGAAAATATTAACTGCTTGACTGTGTTCCAGATTTGGTTGCTAAGGGCAACTGTGCGACTGTTACTATTGAGTCCTTCCAGTGTTTCTGACTCCTGGAGCTGAGGCTGTTGGACTGTCGCCTTCTTACCTTTGTGACATGATCTTGTAGGCATCTGGTAGGTAGCAGTTGATGTTCTCCATCTGGAAAGGGTCTGCGTCGCAGATCTTGTCATCTGTTCGACCATAGTTGGCACTTTCAATCATGATGACATCACTTCCTGGACACCGCAGATCGATGGGGTAACCCTCACAAGAAAGCTCTCTCCGAACTAAGCCAAATGGCAGGGCGGCTCGACTAAACCCTGGGGGAGGAGAGGGGGAGAAAAGAAAGAGCTCTCTCAGTGAAAATCGAAAGGAGATGTATAGTTTGGCTGACACGGGGGGAAAGTGGTATTAGAGGCAGGAGACTCAGACTGTTGGATCAGGAAGAACTGCCTCAACACAACAGCTAAAGTTTTAGAACAACATCTTGTGCCGTTTGTGTTTACTGGCTGCTGATTGGCTTAAATCAAACATCAGGTGTCGACAGCACAGGGTTCATCCAGTGACGTCCAGGATCTGGACGTCTCCCTCCAGCAGCGTTCCACCTCCCAGATTCAATTTTGATCATGGAACATACTGTCATCACAGAATTACTATTCACCAGAGATTTGTGGTTTATGTGCGATGCTCATTTTTCTATGCAAAACAAAACAGTACAAAAAAATCAGTACAACATTAGTGCAATTGAATCTACAATGCAGCACAGACAGTTGAACAAAGGCCAGCGGCAGACTGAAAAAAGAGAAGTCTGTGTGTGTGTGTGTGTGTGTGAGTGACTGAGTGTCAGGGAGGGCGAGTGGGTAGGAAAATTGGAAGAGGAATCAATATTGTGGCTTCTGTGTTCTGCAAACGTGAACCATGACAAAAGCCATTCTGATGCAGTGAACTTCTCACCAATGAACTTTCAAAACAGAACTATAAAAGTCCACAAAGAAAATCAAAGAAACTTTTTGTGATCTTCTTCAACCCTTCATCGGGGTCAACTTCTAAAATCAGTCCAGTGTTCATCAATCTGCCCATGTGTTAAAATGTGTTTTTAGATTCAGATTATTCTTCACAAATGATTGACTGAAGATTCACACGCAGATTATTCTTCACAATTGATTGACTGAAGATTCACACGTTGATTCAAACAGAGTTGATCCAACAACCTCGCCTCATTGGTCAGATATCTTGAATATTATACTGTTAATTTTTACTAATGTTAATGTAACTACTAAACTGTTAAATATATCACTACCAGAAATTCTGTCACAACTATTTGTTTTCCCTTTTTGTGCCTGTAAATTTCACAAACAAACGAATGAACAGAAAACACATCAGAAACAAACGTCAAGTCAAACGTTGTGAACACGACGAGATGGTGCGTTCAGGTACCAACAGTTGTTTACAGCAGAACCTGTTCACACGTGACAGATGTTGACAGCTGCAGATGAGCGGCTCTGGTCTAAGTTTTTTAATATCTTCAGTAAAAGCAGGCCTTGGTGAAGAGCNCCCACAGCCAAACAACTCAGAAACACGGGTGAAAAACCTGCAGCCTCTGCAGACGCAGCTTCTGGTTTTTTGCTTAAGAAATAATATAGTTTTCCTGCCGAAGCATGACAAACGGCCGGAGCCACGAGGAGATAAATGTGTGTTGGAGAATTCTCCGAGACCTTTTCCAACCATGCTGATGACAGCTCCTGTAATAATGGTACATTTTTGTGCACAAATCAAATTAAATTGTTGTCCCCTCTCTCTGTGCTTTTTACTTGCCAGCTGCGTTTGTGCATCACACACCAAATGAACGGTTGTAAACAACCTCCAAAAGCTCTCTCTATTGATTAAACCTGAGGCTAAACTCCGTTCTCACCCGGGTGTCAGTCCGTACTTTTTGTACGTGGGGAGATGAGGGACACAGACAAATCAATGTGGGGACCCCGAGCAGCCCCGTAAACAATGTCCGACTGTACGCCCGACCGTGTTCTTTTATGTCCTGATATACAATATAATGTTGGGTCGTCCGCCGACACAGAGGAACCACGGCTGCTGCTCAGACGGGGTAATTAAATACACTGTGGTTTGGGCATTTTAATCTGGCCGATATTTCTGTGTGACATTTTGTCAAAATGAAATATTTATCCCCGAGGTGTGGCCAAAATATATAGTTACAGTGAGCCAGCGTTTCTGACCTGCACTTTTACTTCCATAAACACTCTCTAATTATATATATATATATATATAT